TCCCCCCCCCCCCCCCCCCCCCCCCCCCCCCCCCCCCCCCCCCCCCCCCCCCCCCCCCCCCCCCCCCCCCCCCCCCCCCCCCCCCCCCCCCCCCCCCCCCCCCCCCCCCCCCCCCCCCCCCCCCCCCCCCCCCCCCCCCCCCCCCCCCCCCCCCCCCCCCCCCCCTCCCCCCCCCCCCCCCCCCCCCCCCCCCCCCCCCCCCCCCCCCCCCCCCCCCCCCCCCCCCCCCCCCCCCCCCCCCCCCCCCCCCCCCCCCCCCCCCCCCCCCCCCCCCCCCCCCCCCCCCCCCCCCCCCCCCCCCCCCCCCCCCCCCCCCCCCCCCCCCCCCCCCCCCCCCCCCCCCTCCCCCCCCCCCCCCCCCCCCCCCCCCCCCCCCCCCCCCCCCCCCCCCCCCCCCCCCCCCCCCCCCCCCCCCCCCCCCCCCCCCCCCCCCCCCCCCCCCCCCCCCCCCCCCCCCCCCCCCCCCCCCCCCCCCCCCCCCCCCCCCCCCCCCCCCCCCCCCCCCCCCCCCCCCCCCCCCCCCCCCCCCCCCCCCCCCCCCCCCCCCCCCCCCCCCCCCCCCCCCCCCCCCCCCCCCCCCCCCCCCCCCCCCCCCCCCCCCCCCCCCCCCCCCCCCCCCCCCCCCCCCCCCCCCCCCCCCCCCCCCCCCCCCCCCCCCCCCCCCCCCCCCCCCCCCCCCCCCCCCCCCCCCCCCCCCCCCCCCCCCCCCCCCCCCCCCCCCCCCCCCCCCCCCCCCCCCCCCCCCCCTCCCCCCCCCCCCCCCCCCCCCCCACCCCCCCCCCCCCCCCCCCCCCCCCCCCCCCCCCCCCCCCCCCCCCCCCCCCCCCCCCCCCCCCCCACCCCCCCCCCCCCCCCCCCCCCCCCCCCCCCCCCCCCCCCCCCCCCCCCCCCCCCCCCCCCCCCCCCCCCCCCCCCCCCCCCCCCCCCCCCCCCCCCCCCCCCCCCCCCCCCCCCCCCCCCCCCCCCCCCCCCCCCCCCCCCCCCCCCCCCCCCCCCCCCCCCCCACCCACGTAGAATTAAATGTACTCCCTTTTAAATAAAGCCAATAAAGGATACTGAACCTCAAAAAAGGGAATCCATAAAAATCAAAAACAAATAAATATATGAAGTACAACCACACTCACAAAAGTAATTCTCGGACACAATAACTTCAACATTTTATCTCTTCAACATTATATCTCTAGTGAACTTTATCATAAGACCAGAGCCATTCCAGAAACCTTAACACTTCATTCAGCAGTCTTATGTAATAACTGTAATAATATTGACATTGTTATTCTACACCATACACACATAATATAAATTTACATAATATATGTAAATTGCAGGTTAGAAGAAAAATATTACTAATGTAAGATTTTAGCTTAAGAGTAAGAAGATCCAAAATCAAATAGGTTAGATAAAAATTCTAATTTAATTGGTAATAATAACGAGTGCTAATGATTTTCTCTTTCCAAGATAATACATATTACTTAACTGTCCATTGAAAAGTCCTAGAAATAATGACAACCAGTAGCAATGTGGACCATCAAAGCCAACAAATCAATTACATTTAATTGCAAAGGGGGAAGCTACTATTGATTAAAGGGGACTTAACAAGTCTTTGTACACTACACATGTAATGTGTACACTTTCTATGAACTCTTGATTCAACCAACCAAAAAACAGGTACTATTTACGTTACAGGAAAACCTGAATGAGGACTTGGCTTAAATGATGTTATGGAATAGAACACGAATTAAAAATAAAACAAAACAAGGTACATCAATGTCATAAATGCTTAAGAGTTTTGATGTTATCATCACTGTTGTTTAGGAATAGTGTACGTTGTGATGAGAGTCCTAAATTTCAGCTGTACAAAGACAAACAGAAAAACACTAAATATTAATAGATCTTTATAAGTCTCTTGCACTATCACATACAAGACTCTCAAAGCAGTTCTGTCTAGTCACTTGAAATAAGGCTAATGTAAGAAACAACACCTTTCCATTACAAAGTGGAACAAGCACTGTATTTCAAACACATTTTGTCAATAAGTAGCCTCTTTTAATCGTCAAAAAAGAGTATTTTTCTTAGTTTTTGCAGTCCTGGGGATTGAATCAATTGCCTTATGTGTGCTACAAAAACGCTCTACACTGAAAAATAAAAATTACTGAAAATAATTCACTTGTTTAATTTTGCCCTTTCTCATATTAATGAAGAGCTATACTCAGTTCTGTATAAAAAATATGATTCTATCTCCATTTCAGACAAAAGTTCATAACCTGAATTTTAAACTTTATAATCTGTCCAACTTGGAATAAACTATTCAAGTCAATGGAATCTTCATGAATATATATTTAATAAAAAGTAAACCTAAAACAAGAAGTAATTAGCACAGTTAAAAGAAATAACAAAACATAATTTCATGTGCTCACTAATTAACATCAGCCTGTACCTTATGGATTCAATTCAGCTGTGGGGGGGTGGGAATGGCTTTTTAAAAAAATTTTAATGTAGATTAAAAAGAAGCAATTAAGTCCACCAGTAGTCCACCAACTATTACATTTATACAAAGTACAGAAAACCCAACAAAAGGAAAGTAAAATGACTGACACATTAAGTTTTCTGGTTTTAAAAAAAAAAAAGAAAAAAAAAATTGGCCAGTTAACAGTGGCTCATGCCAATAATCCTAGCTACTTGGGAGACTAAGATGAGGAAAAGCTTGGTTTAAAGCCAGCTGGCTCAAACAGTTTGTGAGACCCCATCACCAAAAAATAACCCGAGTAAAAAATGAACTGGAGCTGTGGCTCAAGCGATAAGAGTATCTGCAAATGCAAAGCTTTGAGTTGAAATCCCAGTCCCACCAAAAACAGAAAATAAGAACATAATGAACACTGTATGCATGTATGAAAGTATTACAATGAAATTCCCTACTATTAATGTATGATAAATCAAACATAAAATTAAAATCTTTTTTTAAAATGAAAATTCATTTTTTTAAGCAAAGGAAGCTTGTGAACAGCTCATTGAATTTTTTCTTTTATTTTTATCTATTTATATTTCTTTAGTGCTAGGACTTGAACCCAAGCCCTCATGCATTCTACTACTAAGCTACAACCCCAGCCACCATGTGATAATTTTTAAATAGATTAGAACTACAGCACCACTGCCTAACAATAAAATCAAATAATACCTGCCTCAACATAGAAAGTGGAAAGCAGGAAAACATAACATTTAGAAGAGGTCCAGCAAATGGATGGCAAGCTAAGTCCTAAAGAAAGAAGTGCAGGAGGAGGTATGCACAAGTATGTAGCAGGTGCAGGACAGTTTACCACTATTCAATTGCAACATTTAGTACAGTAATAAAATCATACTTTACTTCACACAGAAGAGTGAAAAGAGAAAACCATAAATGTTGGCAGAACAAGATACAGGGTTGGTTCCAAGACTACAGGAGTCATCAACTTATTTCATACTTGCCTTTGGTATTTCTAATTAGTATCGCACCACACTTTGCTTTGTAGACACTCAACTGGAAGGTAAATAAGACAGGTACACCTCTGAGGTGTACTACAGCCTTAATTTATGAACTAGAGAAACCCCAATTTTAAAAAGTAACAGTTCCAACTTTACTTAAATGTACTACTGTTCTCATTTTAAAATACCTGAATAATGAACACGCATTATCCACACTAATGTTGAAAACTCCATCTTCTCTAACACTTTTTTTGTGCACAGTACCTCCAAACACCTTATTCATCATCTGTTCAAAGAAAAAATTACTTGGTGTTAATAGGAATCAAAAAAACAATCTCAGTCATTTTGTTATGCTGATTTAATCATTCATATTCCTTGCTTGTTATGTTTGCACCCCCAAAATAAAGGGAATTTGACAAAATGTAGATAATTCAGTATTGCTGCATATAAATATTAAGTTATTAAGAGGTATGATTATAAAACAAATTTGGACTAGAAATCTCACTTGAGGTTAACTTCTATTAAGCAATGGCAGACTGTCCATTTAGTGTACTTTATTTGCTAAAAATAGAAATTTCTTTAATACTTAAGTCAGAGTTCAATTTAGAAGCATTTAAAAAGTTACTGTGAGCTTAGAAAAAAGCCAGACCAGACAAGGAAAGCTGTAGACTAAAAGAGACAAGTATATATTCTTCCAAGATAATTAATCTTTGGTCCCAAAGGAATGGCCTAAAGGCCTGCAAAAGACTGTGCTGAAGAGAACAGACAATCAAGAAAATCTGGTCTTTGAATTAAACTCATCTGTTCAAATCCCATATCCCTGTAGATTCTTATTTCAAATGGTCTCTTTATTCTGTCCCTCCTTACGTTAATCAGTCTTTTCATTATTTACATATATGCCCAAAAGTGCCAAATCAAATAAATACATGTAAGATTTTTGATAACATAAAATCTGCACTGATATAATCACGCCAACTTGGCTTATGTCTGTTCCACAATAGAAGTCATGATATGTGCTGTAACAACTCATGATACAGGGTGACCCAGCCCCCAACACAGCAGACAGAATACAAAGTAGATGTTGAATCTTGTAATTCACAACATATTATTCAAAACCATTAGAGAATGCCGCCTACCCTTTACTATTTAAACATTCATAGTAAACCTTTCCACAATAAAGGTTTGGGTTAAGTCCAACAGTAAAGAAACTTGGTAACCTTTGTTTAATCAGATATTCCTCGAACTGAACACTTATACATAAAATTTTTTCTATAGTACATGAACATGCAATTTAGGAACCATTGGTCTAATCAGTCCCTTTGTGTCTACTCTTGACTATCTTCTAGCCTATATTCTAGAGATTCACCAATGCTACCTACTAAATGTAAACATGATTGTGTTAATATGATCAAATTCTTCAACAGTTCTCTAGCATCTACAGTAGGGATCGGTAAACATTTTATGTAATGGGATGAAGAGTAAGTATTTTAGCTCTAAAAGCTTGTGCTGTGTATGCTGCAGCATTCAATTCTTGCCACTATAGCTCAAAGGCATCCTTACACAATACTCAACAGAATGGATATGGCTGTATTAAATAAAAGTTTATGGACACTCAAGTTTGAATTTCATTTCATCACATGCCACAAAACATAATTCTTTTCTAAAAATAATTTTCCCAATCATTTGAAAAAAATTCCCGTCAGGCTTGTAGTCCTAGGTGCTAAGCAGGTGGTGGTGGTGAGGCCAGGCTGAGGCCCGGGAACTGGTTGTGCTCAAGAGTTTGGGGTCATCGTATGTTCTCCCTCATATGTGGACATTAGATCAAGGGCAAACACAACAAGGGGATTGGACTATGAGCACATGATAAAAGCGAGAGCACACAAGGAAGGGGTGAGGATAGGTAAGACACCTAAAAAACTAGCTAGCATTTGTTGCCCTTAACGCAGAGAAACTAAAGCAGATACCTTAAAGCAACTGAGGCCAATAGGAAAAGGGGAACAGGTACTAGAGAAAAGGTTAGATCAAAAAGAATTAACCTAGAAGGTAACACCCACGCACAGGAAATCAATGTGAGTCAATGCCCTGTATAGCTATCCTTATCTCAACCAGCAAAAATGCTTGTTCCTTCCTATTATTGCTTATACTCTCTCTACAACAAAATTAGAAATAAGGGCAAAATAGTTTCTGCTGGGTATTGGGGGGGGGAGAGGGAGAGGGCGGAGTGGGTGGTAAGGGAGGGGGTGGGGGCAGGGGGGAGAAATGAACCAAGCCTTGTATGAACATATGAATAATAAAAGAAAAATGGAAAAAAAAAAGAAAATATACCACTTTCTTTACTTGAAGGTTATATAAAAATAAGTAGTAGATCAGAGTTACTATAGACAAGTTTGTTGATGCCTGGTCTACAGAATAAAGTCTAAATCCTTTATATTATAAAGACTTTTCATTACACAGCCCTTATCCAATTTTTGCTTTCACCTTTCGTCTTTCCCCTCATTCTCTAATTCAACCAATTCAAATTACTATGATTATCAAAATAGACCATAGCATCTTCCCCATGTCTTTAAGCACTGTCACAACCTCAAGGGTGTGGCAGTATGTGGTCTAGAGCAGTCGTTCAAATTTGCTAAATGCTTCATCCTCAATGAACCCTGTGCATTTCTGCCTCTCATAATTAGAAGCTGAAAGATAAACCAAACTGTTGGACCACTACACAATTTAAGAATCTATACAGTCTAAATAAAGGTTTCTGTCTACAAACCCAAGGGCTTGCAATAATATTTAATGCTATCTTAACTGCTCAAAAGCTTTTGTGCTTATTTTTGGTTCTATGTTACTGAAGGCCGGAGGTGCAAAAAGTTGAGCAACCAGCTAAGGGTGTGTGTTGGGAAGAGAAGATAGCTATACATAATTAAAAAAAAAAAAAAAAAAGAACTTTGTTGTTAAATTTGTTTCCATTTTCTATTTTGACTTAAGGAAATAGTTTTAAGTAGATTCCTGGTAACATCAAGATTCAAATAACCTCAAAAGAAACTTATATCCTGTAACTACCACCTACAATTAGATCAGCTCCTCTTTTATCTGTGTTATGTGAAAGTTTTACAATAAGGCTTAGATTTGAGGAAGAAGAAAGGGAAGGAAATTCTGCCAATAAAAATAATTTGAGAGCCAGGAATGTGATGCAGGAAAAAGATCTTGTTTCTGACCTTAGAAAAGGCAAAATATAAGCCAGGTGCAGTGATTCACGCCTGTAATCCCAGCCAGCTGGGAGGCCAAGACTGGAGGTGGCAGTCTGAAACCAGCCCAGGCAAAAAGTCTCAAAGAACAAGCTAAAGTAGCACAAGCCTGCAATCCCTATGTGGAAGCAGAGGTAGAAGAACTGAAGTCTGAGGCCACCTGGGCAAAAGAAAAAAGGGCTGGGGGGTGTGGCAGGGAAGCAGGGAAGAAGGGAAGAAGGAAGTCAGGCAAGGCAGGAATGGAGGGGAAAGAAAGAAGGAAATGACAGGTGAAAGGAAGGGAGAAAGGGAGGGGAAGGGAGGAGGGCAAAGAAGGAAAGAAAGGAAGAAAGGCAAAATGCTGTAACATGTCAACTAATAATAATAATATATTATTCAAGGAATAGTTTCCTAGGTAACTCACTTTTCAGATGCTCCAGTCAAGATACATTGCTAAAAGTTATCTTTTAGCTAATCATTCTTAACTGCATTTATTTATATTCTGCTCCTTAATATATCTTATTGAATAAATCATTCTTTGATAACTGAGAATTGAGCATGTTATTTATTATGTTACTCAATAATATCGTCTACTTGTTTCTCTGGTAAATCTATGCCACTTAAAATTAAAAGTAAGTTAGAAAAGCCAAAATCTACACTGTGCACACCACCAAATGCTGGTGAGGATGTAGAACAAGAGGAACTCACATTAAAGAAAAAAAAAGGACAGTGTTTTGTTACATGAAGCAGTATAGTTACTTTTCTTAAAATAGATTCCTTATTAGGTCAGTTCTGTCATATTAGCATAGCAATCCATATACAAATTATCTCATCCAAATAAATATCTTAAAAATAAAAAAATAAAGTATGAGTCACAAAAGACTAAAATATAAGTCAACTCTCAAAGCAAATTTTCAGATGTACCTGCATTCCATAGCAAATTCCAAGAACTGGCTTGCCAATAGTGAATATCGCTGGATCAAACCAGGGAGCATCTTCAGCATATACAGAATTAGGTCCTCCAGAGATGATAATAGCACTGTGCATTTAACAAAGTAAGTCAGTGAAGAATCTCTAACTGCTAATTTTTAAACAAAGTCTATTCTTTACTAATTTTTTACTATCCTCAACAAGTTTTCCATTTTGCCCTATATGCTATGCTTTCAGAAGAAAGGCCAATACTGTAATTTAACTACATTACAATTTGCAGAACATTCTATGGGTTAACTTAGGAGTGGAACTACTGAAAGAATGGTGCAAACTGAGGCCTACATTTCTCGCGTGGCCACTGACACATCTTATATTTGGCCTCAACATTCACTCAAACTTAAGCATTTTTAAAATATCTTCAAGATAACAATTCTTAAGGGGATGAGAACTACCCACACAGGAAGACTTAGAACCTAGCTCCTTAAAATATAGAAGGTAAGCCTTCATTACACACACTTAATTATCAGGACTTCTAGAACCTCAGTACATTATTTAGTTTTATAAAGAATAACCACCATGGGACTATTCAGAATCCTTGATTAACCTGCTAAACACCTTAAGGCTATACGGTTCTTAGTACTATGTTATGATATGATGGACTCAGCCAAGGACAAAACCAAAGCAGTAGTCAAACCATTATGAAAAGTCACATCTCAGTAACTCTTCAAAAGAGTTAATCACTCTTAGTCTTCTATTTCTACCCTATTATTTTGAAACTAACTTGCAATTATAAGGCCCAACAAGCCATAAATCATTGCAAACACCAATTTTATGTATCACATAGATCAAGATTCTAAAAACAAGTGGGTTAAGATGTTTCATGCCACAAAACTAACATTTATTGTAGAAAAAAAGATGATAAAACAGAATTTTACCAGAAAGGATTATGGTAATGAAAGTCACAGTACTATATAATACCTATGTCCCCACTATAGAAAAGAGGCTCTAGGAACAAGCTAGATGTGGGAACTGTTTATGCTCAAAAGACAGGAAGCAGAATTTAGATTTCCATCAAAGTATTTGGCTACTATATTTTAAAACATTTAGTTTGGGCTAATTTGCTGGGAATTTATTTGTTTTAGATGGGGGGAAATAGTGAAGCTTGGATTTGACAGATACCTACTATTCAGATTTACCAATGGTTTGATCTCTCAAAAACTAGTAAAATCAAGATAGTTGTAAATAAACTAAAGGGTCCCTTCTTACTCTACAATTCTATGGTTTAAATGAAGTGCACTTGTCTTGCATGTCCAAGACCTGGATTCAATAACCAGCATCACCAAACAAAAATAAATAAATAAAGCTGTTTTTAAATGTGCACTCTTAAGTCTAGAACAGAATTAAATTTAAACTTGCCTTTTCTGATTACTTTAGAAACCAAGAAACCAGAACAGTGTATACATGTCTGTGAAGTATTTACAAGTTCTTTTAACCATTTTTTCTATGGGAAAAATTATGCTTTTAAGAAAAATAAGGACTGACAGAGTGGCCCAAGTGGTCGAGCACTTGCCAAGCAAGTATTACGCTCTGAGTTCAAACCCTAGCACCAAAAAAAACCAAAAACAAAAACACCACATTTGGGCAGAAGCACAGTGTATTAATATTAAGGTTTAAGAGCCAACTAAGGACATATACTAGAGCTGCCTGCTGCTGAGCAACACTCTCAAGAACACTAACTCCATGAGAATAGCCATGGCATTTCTACAAAGTTGTTGAAGGAATAAACAATATTTATAAGTTGACTAGTTGACTATTTGACTATGCTAAGGTATGAGTGTTGGAATTCACCCTTTTATATTAGAGTTAGAAACTTTTAGCCATTGTATTAGACTTGAGAAAGCTTTTCAAACTTTACAATCTACTCTCTAGAGATAGGAAGCAAAAACAATTATACAACAGATTTCTTACATTTGAGGTATTCTCCCCAACTATCTGCACATTTTCCCATCTAACTCTGACCCACAAATTCTATAAAACATAAAATAACAAAAAAGTTCTTTTAACTGTGCAGTTAAAATTGAGGTAATCTTTTTTTACTGGAAGCTTAAATTTTTCATTTTGCTTTTTCCTCCAAATCGAGCCAGAATTTCCTAGAAAACTGTTCTGCATCTTATTTTCACAGAAAAATTCAGTGCCCAAGTAAATTGATAATAAAATATTCCACAATCTAAACTTCATCTCTTCATAAAAACATTAAAAGTCTACCGGAATCCTTGTTCTTTTATGGCAAATGCTGGTGTTTCCAAGGGGAAGATTTCAGACTGCACAAATAGTTCTCTCACTCTTCGGTCTATGACTTTTCCATACTGAGCACCAGCATCCAGAATGACAATAGCGCCTTCGTAATGGTGACGGCCATCCTTAAGGTCTCCTCCAGCATTCTCTAGCTGCAAGTATTAATACGAACACAAATTACAAAAATTAGTTACTTAAAAAAAAGGATCACTGACAGCTCCAAAGCACATAGAAATGAAAAGTGTCAACTTAGGACTTTTCAAGTTGCCAATTCAAAGTCTTTCTTTTCGGGAAGATTTTAATTCATATCCACAATGGTGCATATAAACACATGCATTTAATAAAAGCTGCCATCTACTAACCATGTGGTACAGTCACTTTATGTATATATACCTCACATGCATCATCTAATAGCAAGATGAGCACACAATCCCACTCAGCCAAAACAGTCCTGATCTATGCTCATTATACCAGTATTATTATTACTTATGCCCAGTTTGGGCAATGAACTGTAAGATCATAATAACAGTCACAGAATTCCTATGAGGGAAACACTGATGATGAAACTAAAAGTCAGCTGTTAGCGAAGATATACAACCAAAATCACTTAGGATTGCTTTGTATTAGCTGAGGAAAATGAAATAAATGCATCTAATCCACAACCCTAAACTTTTTAAAAAGGGTCTTAAAAATCTTATCCCTGTCAAGTATAAATTTTTAACACTTTTATGGAAAGCATTTTAGCAAAACATAAAGTTGTTAACTATGCCAAAAAACATTTATCTTAAGTTGACATCAAAATAATGCAAAAACTGGGACATGATAGCTCAAGCCTGTAATCCTAGCTACTCAGGAGGCAAAGATCAGGAGAATCATGATGTGAAGCCAGCCCTGGCAAAAAGTTCAAGAGACCCCCATCTCCACCAATACCTGGGCATGGTGGTGTGCACCTGCCTGCATCCCAGCTCCATGGGGATGCACAAATGGAGGACTGTGCTCCAGGCTGGCCAGAGGCCTAAAATGAGACCCCATCTCTGCTAGCAAAAAGGGGTAGCAGAGTGGCTCAAGTTGTATCCACCTACATAGCAAGTGCAAGGCCCTGAGTTCAATCCCCCAGTATGGCATAAATAAATAAATAGATAGATAGCTAAAAAGGAAGTGAGTATGGAGGAAACAAGATTGTCCATGTACTGAAATCACTTGAGTTGGGTGGTAAGTACATTAGGTTGACTGCATTCATCTATTTTGTCTTGTTTTTCTTCCTTCCTTCTTTCCCTCCCTTTTCCTCTCCCATTTCTTCCTTCCTTTCTTTCTATATATTTCAAATTTTACCTAAAGAAAAGCTTTTAAAAATGTGTATGTACTCTGGAAATCCACTTAAAGGATGCATATACAATATGATACCATTTCAATACATTTTGTGTAAAAGTTCAAGAGTGCATGTGTGCATGAAAAAGAAAAGCATGAGTGGATATGCAACGAAATATTAACAGAAGTTGTAGCTGTGTGATGGAACTAGAGGTTATTTAAAATTTTTCTTTCTTTAAACTATTCAAAAAATATTTGAAATGCTATTTTTGGAAGTCGTTCCCCTTTCCAACTTAAAGCAATTAAAAAAAAAAAAAGCTAAGTCAGTTCTTTTAGCTACTTGTGTAACACTTTCCATCTCTCCTCTCTATTTATCTGAGAAAAATAAATGCACACTTCACTTATAACACCGCTATCCCTTCTGCTATAGTAATGAAAAAAACAACAATCACAGCCATCTGCAGAGGAGAATTTGTGAGAGAGCCAGTTAGAATTAATAAGTTCACAAGGGTTTGTCATATGAATCACAATATAGAAAAATAAGATCACAGAAACAAGCTACAACTCTCACTTCACCCTTAATCTTATTATACACATATGGTGCACGCACACACACACACACACACACAAAATTTCTCCCAAATCTCTTTCTCATTTTTAAAGAACGAAATACTTTTAAAAGACCACTGTGCTATTGTGTCAATTTCTCAGACTCAATCCCATTAGCACCTTCACAATTTTTACCAAACCCAAGTACAATTTATTTATTTGCATTACAGACAGAGTCCTTGCTTTGCATGGCTTTGATATGTAAAACTTTCCACTAGCATGTTTTACAACAAGATTTAGTTAACACTAGTTCTCCCAACATGGTTCAAATTTCAGTTATCTTATATTAACTGCAATTACATAAAGTACAAACCTCACTGCCAGTTATTCAGTTTATAAGTCACCTCACGACAGAAAAACATCATGATCAGTGACCAATCACATCCTTCCTTTCAGAGTCTGATGTGATTGGTCACTGTACCACAAACACCCACAAGTGCAGCTGTGTTGCTTCTTTGTCTCCCAGTGATAAACCCACAGGACACTTTACAAATAAAGGTAATCTAAGAAAGGACAGGTTAACCAAGATGAAAGAGCCATAATTATAACATTAAGAGGGATCTCTAGTCAGGCACCGGTGGCTCAGGCCTGAAATCCTAGCTACTCAGGAGGCAGAGATCAGGAGGATCAGATTCGAAGCCAGCCTGGGCAAATGGAGCCACGAGACCCTGTCTCAAAAAACTCATTCACAAAAATAGGGCTGGTGGAGTGGCTCAAGGTGAAGGCCCAGAGTTCAAGGCCCAGTACCTCGAGAGAGAGAAAAAAAGGGGTCTCTAAAAGGTAACTACAGTCATCTGAACCAAGTTCCCTTCTAAAAGTTCAGGAAAACTAAATTCACATAAAAAGAAAACAAAAGTATAGAAGCTAAATTCCATGCAAAGTTACTAAAAGTAAAAAAGAAGAAAGAAGAACAGAATAACATCTCAATGAGAGAAAGCCAGAGAGGCATACTCAACAGATCAAAACTGAGTTAAAAGATATTAAGAAAACTACACAAAACATGAAAGATCGTGAATCAAAACTTAAGACTATGAGCCAGATGCCAATGGCTCACGCCTATAAACCCATCTACTAGAGAGGCAGAAATCAGGAGGATTGTTCCAGGTCAGCAGGGGCAGATAGTCTGTGAGACCTTATCTTGAAAAGACCCAACACAAAAAAAGGTGGCAGAGTGGCTCAAGTGGTAGAGCACCTGCCTAGCAATTAACTTCTGAAAGAATCAACAACACACTAAATAAACAGGCAACTGGACTGAACAGACAATTCTCAAAAGAAGAAGTGCAAACGGTCAATAAACATATGAAGAAACGCTAAACATCTTTAGACATAAAGGAAATACAAATCCAAATGACATGGAGATTCCACCTCACTCTAGTCAAAATGACTATCATCAAATGCTGGAGAGTATGTGGGGAAAAAGGAACACTTCTACACTACTGGTGGGAATGTAAATTATGGAAAGCAACATGGAGGTCCTTCAAAAAACTAATAATAGAACCACCATACGACTCGGCGATACCATTTCTGGGCATGTAGTTGAAGGAATATGCTCCAGGATACCAAAGAGCCATTTCCACACCAATAGCCAAGCTTTGCTAACAGCCCAGATGCCCCATGACTGATGAATGGACTAAGAAAATGTGATTGAGCCATAAAGAAGAATGAAATGTTTGCAGTAAATGGACTGAACTGAAGAACATCATGTTAAGTGAAGTAAGCCAGGCTCAAAAGTCAAAGGTCACATGTTTTCCCACAAATGTGGAAGCCAGACCTGTAAGTTAAATGTATATATAGATACATGTGATCATATACATATATATACACACACATACATACATATATATGTATATATACATATGTATATAGTGAAAGGACAAAACTGTAGTAGTGAATCTGTCTGAGGTGACTACAGGAGGTGGGAGATGGAAAGAAAATGTTAGAGAGTGAAAAAAATTGAAACAACCCATTTACTATACTGTAAGCTGTTGAACATTAGGGGAGCATGGTGAAAGAAAGTAAATAACGGAAGGGTGAGGGGTGTTAATTTGATTAAAGCAGTACCAAGGCAAAAGCCCCTGGGACTTAAAAAAAAAAGAAAAGAACAGGAAGATAAAATAGGTCTTTTCCAAGGGTGGGTACCAGTGAGGCAGACAGGTGGGCATAAGGAAAGGGTGAATGAGGATGAATACAGATGTACTTTGTATTTATATATGAAAACAGAAGAATGAAACCTGTTGAACTTATTCTAAGAAAGAGGGAGAGGGACAACAATGGAGGGGGTAAATCTAAAATATATTGTAAGCACATTATGTGTATCCTCCTATACAACTATTATATGGCAATAAAAATTTTTTAAGGTGGGGGAGGGCTGGGGCAGTAGCCAAGTGGTAGAGTGCCTGCCTTCCAAGTGTGAGGCCCTGAGATTAAGACCCACTGTGGCCAAAAAAAAAATTCAAGACTATGAACCCAGAACGACTGTCCCCAATACATACTCCAACAAAATTATTGAGCTTTAAAGGAAAAAAGTATCCTTTTGAGGTATGTGTGTGTGTGTTGAGGGAAACAATGTTTATTTGTTTTTGGAGAGCTGGTCTCACTCTATAGCCCAAGCTGGGCTGGAAACCATGAGCCTCCTGTCTCAGCCTCCCAAGTGCTAGTACTATAAGAATGTACTACCAAGCCCAGCTCCTCTGGATATTATAGATGCAAAGCACTGATCATTTATAACCCACTCAACTACAGACGCCATGTATACTTTTCTATATCTGCTTTATTTTGCAATAAAAAGATTTTTAAAATAGGGCAAGAACATTTATTCTGCACCTGTTATTTCAGATGCTTCACACATTCTTCTCTCCATAACAATGATGACTTCCATAAAGAGTAAAGTGAGTCTTAGATAAGATGCCCAGGAGCACACTAGCAAAGGAAGCATGGAAACCTCAAAAAAATTAGCACCACAGAAGGGAAGTGAACAAATCAGCACTATATTTTTGGAAGACTATTGTCAAAGTTACATTTCAATATTTTGGTACTTAAAAAGAGTTTTATTACTTTAGAAAGTTTGCTATGCAAGTGAAAGAATGTTCTGACATCTAAGAAAAGCACTACTGAACATATAAATGATTTTAGAAAGTGAGCAGCACCAATACTAAACTTATTCAAGTAGCTGCCCTTTTAAAAGAATCCTTTCACAGGCTGGGCATGGTGGGGTACACACCTATAAACCCACCTA